AGAAACTCATATAGAAATGTTTACATATGTTTCTATATTTATACCCAATGTATCAAAACTGACATCTTGTTTAAGAGATTTGTTGAAAAAAGCAAATTATCTGGAACTGGAATGCAGCATATGAAAAAGCATAGAATACTAAAAGATGTCTTAGTAAATAGACCAGTTTTACAGTATTAGGATATAAACATGCCAGTAGTTTTATCTGTAGATTCATCTCAAGAAGGACTAAGATTACTGCAGAATAGTTTACCAGTAGCATATGCATCTAAGGCATTAACAGAAGAATTATGCTCAAAGTGAAAAGGAAACTTTAGCTATTGTATTTATGTGTGAGAAATTTCACCAGTATATATTTGGAAAGCATGTTACATTTCTAAGTGACCATAAACTGTTATAATCAGTTTTCAAAAAGCTAATAAATATAAATGCCCAGTAAGATTGCAAAGAATGCATATAAGATTACAGCCGTATCAGTTTGAGGTAACCCCAGGAGGAAAAGAACTTAACGACTTTTGACTAATGTTAGTGTTAACATTAGTCAAAAGTCATCTAAAATGTAGATGCATTATCGAGATCATTTACTGATAGATGATTTGATTTCTTTGAAGGAGATGTAGAGGCCCATGTTGGATTGGTTGTAGAATGTATACCAATGTCTAAAGACAAAATGGAAGTTTTTCAACTGGAAACAGAAAAGGATGAAGAACTACAAGTTTTAAGAAAATTAATTAAAACTGGATGGCCAGATGAAAAATGTATGGTTCCACAACTGGCAAAACCATATTTTAACTTCAGAGAAGAACTATCAGAAGCAAGTGGATTATTATTTAAAAATTCCTGTGTTGTACCAAAAAGCTTACGAAAAGATAGTAGAATTCATTATGGTCATTTAGGAGAAGTAAAATGCAAGAACAAAACATGAGAAATGTTATATTGGCCAGGAATGCTGAAAGAAATTGAAGGTTTTAAGTTTACAAAAAGCTAATACTAAAGAACCAATGATATTGTTGAGTTTTTCTTTTCTGACACCAGTGGTTACATTATTTCCTCTCTTCACGTTCGTATGGGGTTTGTGAGGATTTGGAGTGAATAATGACAGTACTACTTGATGAAGTATCGAAACACACTTTATTGGCATTTAAGGGTTTGTATTGTCAGGACAGCTCCAAAATATGTTTTTACAGTTGTCAATGAACTACTATAAACACGCTGAAACGATCAGCGACACAGCCTCCAGGCTATCACGGTGGAGACAGCTTCCACGGCAAAGCACTAGAGTACAGCTCCCGACTCTGCTTGGTCGTTCTCGGAAATCCACGTACTCTCGGGACTCCACGCTACAACTCACACTGAACTCGACTACACACAGAGCACAAGTCCCAACTCTTCGATTTAGTCATTCTCCCGGAGCTCAACACACTCTCTCAATGATGCACTAACCGCGATACACTACGAGACTCTTTCGGTGCACTATACGACCCACTCGGCACTTGCTGCCCGGCTGTCAACTCGATCGACTCCACAAGGATTGACTCGCTAGACAAGACAGCAACTCGATACTACTTCTCCGCATACCAGCTGGGTTTTATATAGCTTTCGGCTTGTGTTCGAGAACATTATGGGCTAAACCGGTAAGAATTTGTCCCAGAAGGTTCTTTATCCATCCATGGCATATCGCCGATTTTGTCGCCAAATGGGCGATTTCTCGCCAAATGTGGCAGTATGGCAACCTTAAAACTGTTGTGGGGAAGCGATCGTACCGCACCTGTACATTTCATAACAATATCTAAAGAAATACCTGATGATCCATGGGAAATATTGGGAACAGATCTCTTTTACTTTCAAGGAAGGCATTATGTAATCGTTATAGATTAGTTTAGCAAATACATCGAAATTGGACATTTGGAAGATTTGTCAAGTGTAGCAGTAATAAAGCAATTGAAATAAATTTTTGAAAGACATTGGTATTCCGAAAATAGTATATTCGGATAATGGTCCACAATATAGTTGCAGGAAATTTAAAGAATTTGCAAGATAGAATCCAAATTAACCACAATCTAATGGAATGGTTGAAAGACACATTCAGACTGTCAAGCAAATGTTAGAAAAAGCTGTAGTTGACAATAAGGATCCATATTTAGTATTACTGGAATATCATAACTCTTCTATTTCAGATGAAATTAAGTCACCTACAGAATTGATGTTTGGAAGAAAAGTAAATGGATTGATGCCTATAAAAGAGAATTTCATCCCAACTAAATAATATGAAGACCATAAACAATATTTACTGAAGAGACAAACCTTACAAAAAGCTATTATGATAGAAATGCAAGACCATTAAAACCACTGAAGGTATAAGATTATGTGTACATAAAAGAAAAGGGAAAAAATTTAATGAAAAAGAGAAAATTACAGAAGCAAGAAAGACCACATTCATACAGGATTGTAAGAACAGATGGAAGAATTATAGAAAGGAACAGAAGAGACATTTCATAAAGGAAGTAATCAGAAAGCGTTTGCAATGCAAAACAACCATGAAGTTACGGATGAGCCCGCGATTAGTAGCAATACTTCGAATTTAGGTGTACCTGTAAATTCTTCAGCACCCAACAAAAGTGTTGTGCCACCAAATACCGAAAGAGGTGTTGTATCACCAAATTTTGCAAATGGACTTAACTACATAACTCAATCTGGTAGGATTGTTAAAAGAATATGTATAATTTTATTATTATTTCTGTTAAAAAAAGGGAGATGTTATCTATGTAACTGTATCTGTTATTATTGTTAATCATAATTGTAATATAGAATATTAGAGTAGCAATGTAAAATGAACGATGCTTGTGTACATCTCGTAATCATCATTGAGCACTTATCCAACATGTAAAAGGGATACACTCCATTTGTGAGTTTGTGTTCCTGAAGTTTTAGTTTGGATTCTTCAATTGGTAAGTCTATACTTTAGGGTACCCCTTGGATTATTTCCAGGTTGTTTCATTTATGGTAACCTGAGTAGTTGAATGTTATGAAAACCTTATTATGATGTGATTGGTTGTAACGCGTGATTACGGTGATTTTGACTGTTGAGAAGATATTTATAAGGGCTTATTTATGTGTTGGATTTTCGTTAGGAATTACGTTGCTTATTGTGTGCTTTATGCTCTAAAATGTACGTTAACCTACTGTTGGTACAATTAACCTGAAGCTTTTGAACACTTTGGACAGAATGGGAAAGAAGACACTGATTGACTGGTGTATAAATGAAGATTTAAATGGCTTCTTTAACCTCTCGGTAAATTACACAGTGATATTTAAGGGTTTGGAAACCAGAGCTAATATCAACACTATGGAAGGTACGTAGGGTGTAAGGGTGTAATGAAAAGGGATTTTTGAAAGAAATGCCACTTAAAGTCCAGAGGGTATTTTTCATTTTTACTGTTGTGAATTTATGTAGTGATGGCGGTATATAGATTCTAGTTTAGATAATTTAGTTTTTGGATGCTGTTAAGGAATTCTGTGTGTCACACATACCAAAGAAACAAAAATTTTTAAATATGGTAAGTTGATATATCCTTTTTGTACTGCATAGATTAGGTAACATGTATTTCCATTCATATGTTACTTCCTTGATTGATTCAAAATGCAGTTTATTGAGATTATATATTTTAAAATTATTTTTTGGACACCATTTTACTGGAGAGGCCGCTGGACATGGAATGCCCCCCCCCAAATTTGCCAATTTTCTCCAAGGGGTACCCTAAAATATATTTTGCCTTCTCTTTGTCAGTTTTAAATGCTGAAAAAGCAGGAATAGCTCATCATAGCTGATTTGGTTTTAAGTAATGGGATTTATAAAATTGTGGGTCCAGGGTAAAACATTTAAAGAGAGGGGGAACTTGCAGTTCTCAAACGTTTTCCAGATATTTGGAGAACCAGAGTACTATAAATTTACTGTGCAACTAATTGCTTCTTGATAAAGATTTTTGGGGAGTCTCTTTCTTTAAAAAATATATATTTAGGTCAAGTGAACAAAATGCTGGAACTCTGGTTTGTAAAGATATTTTAGTCTCTTTCTTTAAGAAATAGATTTTGATAAATTATTTTAATAGTTCTCTCTCTCCAGATAGTTGTAAGACAATCCTGTAGTGAATTTTAAAATCACAAAAATAGAAATTTTGGAAAGTGCACACACGCACACATGCACATATTCATATAAGAAAATATTTATTAGTTAAATTTTTAAACTTTTGAAAGAGATGAAATGTGTTAAATTGAAATGGAAATCAAATAAGAAATGCTTCAAAACTATAACCCCCCACCCCCAAAAAGGAACTGTTTAGAGTAAAAGGTATTTTGAAAGAAATCGTATTTATACCAGCAAGATGATTTAGTTAGTTAATAATCATCAATTTATTAACAGAAATTAACTTGTATTTAGTTTCTGTTTACACACAGATATATTTAATTTAAAAAGTAATGCTTTTATTCAACATACCCGAAATTTGATGCACACATCCTCCTACTCACAAAATTGAGCTGTTAAAAGCTTTCTGGTCTTTGAACATGCATTGGCCTTTTAAATGGGTTTCCAAAAGCTTCAAGTTGAAAATATGTCTGCTAATTGAAGAATAAGTCTTCATTTGAAATAACATTCTTTCATTTAGTTTTAACTACATTAAACATCTTATCGAAGGTAGAACTGAATTGTTTATTGACTGAAGTACTTCTTGAAGAACATAGTTTTAAGATTGAAATTATTTACTTCTGGTTAGTACAGTAATTTATTTCCTTTGTTAAATGTTTAAGAAATATCTTTCACACTTATCTCCTGTGTTGACTATTTTATGAAATCTCCAGAAGTATATGCTAACTTTCCCCAAATAATTTATTTATGGTTTTTTATTCATTGTTTACTAAATTTCCTTTTTTTTATTTTTGCAAAATGTTATTCTGTTTAATTTTATTAATTACTTCTTTTTCTGATTTTTTATTTATTGCAGGTCAAATAAGGAAAGTATATGTTTTCAAATGGCAAGTCCTAATGTGAAGAGAGATTGGACAACTGATTTGAGACTTGCAAAACTTGCATTAGGTATGTGATGTGTAAATGTTGTTAACATTGATTAACATTTGTTTCTCTGTACTAATAATGCGGGAGCCATTTTGGATAGTACATTTTTAGGATAATCTATGGCTAAGGTTTTCATAAAAAAATACTTTTCTTATTTGTATACATCTTTTTTGACAGTTTTTTATTAATGATTAACAAAGGCTATATAGGATTCCCTATTAATCTGAAAGATCTTAACCTGTATTACATTTATTTACATAATTTGTAAAAATATCGACAGACAATTTTCATAGTTGCATAAATTGAGTGTATGTGATATGAAATATTCAAGGAAGATTGCATAAAAGGGTATGGTTAGCTCTTGTTTCCTAGAGTTAAGCTTGAAAAAAATGTTTTCTGAGGATTACCAGATGTCCCTTTTTTTTTTTTTTTTTTTTTTTTAATCATTAAGTTAGCATCCACAAAGAAGTTTAAAAAATAAACATGCTTCTCCAGAAATTAGATTTGTGGCTTAAAATTTTTAAACATGTTTTGCTTTTAAATAACAGAGGCTGGAATTATAGACATATTGTCTGAGTAGTGTTGATACAGCTTTGTCTTGAACTCTACCAAAACTTTTGCATTCTTTTTAGCAGGGAGGTTAGCTATAAGAGTGCAGCTAGCTGTTAATGATCTGGGTACCATAAAAAAATGCTAAATAAACTCATCTTCTGAAAAGCAATTTTCTATGCAGGTCATTTTCATAGTTGTCAGCCTACTACAAATTCACTTTACTTAGCATCATGCTTTGTTTATATTGATGATTTTTTGAGGGGGGGCCTTACAAAGGCTTCACTTCTGATTCTTTATGTTGTAGAATAAGTCTGAAAAGGAAGTGCTAATTCATAGCCAAGTTGTAAAAAAAAAGTCCTTCCATCAGGATTTTGGGGAATGAGAAGCAGAATAAATGGTTTGTGTTCTAGAGACATGTGCAGGAAGGGTGTTTAAAAATCGCATTATCTCAGAAAACATACAAAAGAAGATAAACATTCAAAGAAATTAATCAACTATTTCAAGAAACTCAATTCCAAACTTGCCAACAGAATTTGTGCTTCAACGAGCTGTCTTGTTTTCCGAACATCACAACGGCTGCAGGTTCATGAACTGCACTTCTGAATTATTTTTTTAAAAAAAAATATATAACCCAGAGATAGTTAAAAGAGTATAAAATGCTGAGATTATTGCTAATTCACTGTTAATTTAGCATTCATTTCAGTATTAATGAATTCCTTGCAGTGCATTCATTTTGTAGTGTATCTACAGATATTAGTAATCATGATTAAATTATTTCCACTAATGGTTCAGAATTTTTATTTTAAAAAATGGTGGACTGCAGATAATGTTGTTGGAAGTTGAAAGGAAATGCATTTGCAGCAGTTTCTATTTTTCATATGTTAGTGACATGGTAATCAAAATATGTGCATATTGTTTGTAGTAGACACTGCAAGCAGTGACAGGAATGTCTTTGAAGATCTTGAGAATGATAAAGTCTTCTGATGCATACCAGGTTAGGCTATTTAAATTTGGTAAAGCTATCAGGACTGTCTGCCTAAGAGGAGGGATGTTTTTGTGGAGCCATTTCTTGTGGGAAACTGGTTTGCATATACATTAGACAATGAAAAAAACCAACCACGCAACCCTCTTGGGTTCAAACTCGAAGCAGGTTGAACTACCAATATTTAGCTCTCTTCACCATTTGGTCATTGATGGGCCTGATACACATCAGGTGTCTTGCTTCTGTTTTAAGTAATTTTTTCCAGTACGGCACAGACATTCTCTCAATTTCAGTTGTCTTTAAGATGTAGAGTTATTTTTCAGTTCATGTTGCAAAATGTCTGTAATGGAAGTTTTGTGACTTTGTTTATGTGGGAATACCACAGCTGTTGCAGCATCCCAGGACCACAATGGTTTCCAGCATTGACTTGTCCAATGTATACTTATCTTCAGCTTCTCGCTGACTTTCCTGAGTTACAAATAGTTATAAATCTTTTAGAAAGTGAAACATTTATAATTCTTTACATATCAAGTCTGCTGCTTTGCTTTAAAAAAAGATTAAATGGTTCATTTGAGGAAATTTGTCTTTCACATTTGTCTCCAGTCACATGAGTATTTCATTCTCATATTAAGGAAACTGAAAAGAGAGAAAATTCCATGCTAAGTATCTTGGTATACTGTTTGTAATGCAGAGTATTTTTTCCAGGGAAGAAAACAGAGACTTGTATGTTACTGATAGTCAAAGATCTACTTCAGGAGAGACAGGATGAAGTGTTTAAAATGTTTCTAATATGTCGTGTTTCTCTTCTAGTCTAGTCAAATAGTGTGTTGATACTCCTTTAAAATTATTTGTTTCAGTTCAGCATTTCTTATAGCATCATTTTTCACCATTTTATTTCCTTCTGTATTTCTTCCATTTTCTTAATGAGTTACTACTGTATTGTTGCTGTGGAAATTCTGTTCATCATTTACACCAGTTTGAAACTATAAAAAAATTTAGATTCATAACTTAGATATTAAACTACCAAAACATACACATATATGTGATGATAAAATTTAGTTCCTTGCAGTAATTTGATATGAGATATGAGTGCTTGACTAGGGAAGAGAGTATTTTGCAGTCACACTCATGACTGCAAAATTATCTCTGAAAAGAATCACTGAAAAAGATGTACTGTAAAAGATCACTGAAAATTAGTTACACATTAGAAGATGTGGAGAACTTTTGAAGAATCAAAAAATCACTTGATAATCTACATATCTCTTTATTGATATTGATTACCATATGCCATGGCACATCACAATGTTGGCTAATCTACACCCTTTGATTTTGATGATGACGCATTACATTTTTAACAGAAGCAGCCAAGCAAGAGATGTCCTTTAGCTATTAACCCTTTGCGGCACAGTGTGTCCAGTTTAGACATACCTGAAAATTTCCTTCTGTACGCACAGAAAAATTGAATGGAAAAGGATTTGTAGGTTATCTAACCGGCTTTTTATAGTAGATGAGCTAACACAAACCAGTATTATTTTAGCCATGTTTAGTTTTATGACCCTCATTTTCAAAAATCTTCCAGATTTTTTTTAGGGTAAAAGGAATTTTTGAAAGAATTTTCTATGTTTTTTTTGGCTGTATGCTATCTCCTTTCTATTAGTTTAAGTTTTTACCTGAAATCTTGCCTAAAATCAAACGGTGACCCTAGGTGTGCCCAGACCCGGCTCACCGATAATCTAGGACAACTGAGATTCTTTAGTCTTGTTGCGCTGCATCTCAAAGCTGTTCATGACAACAATGCTCGTTTCAGCACTCTTTTTCAAAGCTCTATTCATCAGTGTGGCGCCACAGAATTAAACGATAGTGCTATCTCACAAAATTTTACTTGTGTACTCCTCTAGGCCTAATTACACTGCCTACTTTTTTTTTTTTTTTTTTTTTTTTATCAAGACTCTGACTTTAAAAGGTAGGGTGCTGGAAAGGGTTAAGAGTAGGCAGAGAAAAAGAGAGTGTAGTTAGATTTCAACGGTATTTATAGTAAAATTTTTCGTTAATGTGATTGGCTAAAACTTATAGGCAATGCAGAAGTTTAAGATCACATAATGTGGAATTAGTTTTCAGATATGATGCAGTTTCAGGAAAGTTATTACTAGAGAGGAAGTACCCAAATTAAAAATGAGCAAATGAGAGGCTTTTTAAATTATAATTTTTATTTACATATCTTACATATATATAGCATGAACATATTTAATTAATATGCTTAGTGCTTAAATTCATCATGGCAGTCGTTGTGAGTGGTTGGTTATACAAACTCGGTTAAACCTGAATGGGCACGTCTTTTGCAATTCTGAAAAAAGTGATGAAATGAAATACAGATGCAATGAACACTCAGAGTAAAGGAACTAAACATTAATGACATCAAGTATTATGATCAGTTCTGTAGTCTAAAATTAACATTCATATACAATGAAGAATCTATCTCAGTATTCATGAAAAGATGTGCTCAAGTTTAAAATCTTCAAAAAATTTCAAAGGTCACTCTAAGCTTTTGAAAATACAACTCTTCATTTCAGCTTTGTAGTATTGTATTTGCATTTGCTATGACATCCAGACACTTCAAGGGAAATCAGGCCAATAGAAGTGGGTGTTTGTGAACTGTTTTAATAAAGTTACCTTCTATTGCTGTGGTCTCAAAAGAGAGTACAAAGTGATACTTGGTAGTGCAAAAGACAAATAGGCTGACTATTCACTTGGAAGTGTATGATCGTGTATCATGTGAGTGCAGAATTCTCTCATTGGTTGCTGTGTCTGGTTCTTATAAGGTTCATGGTCTGGTTTCACTAATTGACATGGGGGAGCAACATAAAATCATTGGTTTCGAAGTGAATGAATATTAAAATTACATTGTGTTACATTGCATCGGGTACAACTTATAATTATTTTCATCTTAGTAGTGTGTGATCAAAATACAGGGAATTTCTAAATGAATATATAGTGTTTTTTCACTTTTTTAGTATTTATTACATTAAACTTTAAAATTGTAATTAATACATGAAATGAAAGAGCATCTCAAACAGTTATACCTACAAGTGTTCAACATGAGCACCTTTGATCACACGAGACACATCAAGTCGAAATTAATCATTAATCATCCTAATTGCTTAACAAACTAACACTAAATAATTTCTCAATAGTTTAAACTTTCATTTTTAATTATACATCTAATATATATCAACTGAAGTATATGTAATTAATAAAAAGATGCTTCTAATGGAATATCTTATGTGCCTGGTCCAATTTTTTAACAAAACTATGCTTCCTTCGACTAATGAAGTCAGAAACTGTGCTTATAGCTATTTTTTGCTTAATTTGTATTGTATTTAAATAAGATATTTTGAGAACATTCTCTCTTTATTTAATTTTTAAGTGTTTTTAAATTTCATTTCATGTGATACTTAAAATATATGTTTTAGAGATTTTTATTGTTGTTTTTTCTTTGTCTGAATTTGCTTGCAAGGTGCCCTCCACAGATCATTACCTACAATTGCATATTCTTCAGCTTAAATTTTTAAATCTGCAATTTATGTTTTCTGTTAGATCCTAACAATACTCCAGCATGGGATATACCAGAGCAAGAAAAGAGACCTAGCAGTAAAATGCCTTTGTTTGTTAAGACCTTTCCTGTATTTCAAGCCTCTTCTTCAGCAGAAGTAAGATTTACTGCATTTCTTTAAGATATATTTACTTGCATTTGTCTTATTTTGAACAATGTCTTTTGAGTATTTAAATCCCCAGTTGAGAAAAATGTATTTTCTAGGTCAAGTGTGGATGTCATTACATTGTGAATAGTTCAGTTCCTCAGCAATATCTATGGCTTTGTTCTTCCGATGGTGTGAATAGTCATTTAGTTGTAATGGCTGTGCATTTGACTCATCTTCGACAAGTAGCTGTTTATCATCTTAGTGAAACGCAGATAATTGCAATTGAAGCTGTACCTGGAGTCCCATTGTCAAAAGAATGTTCTGATTCTGATAATAATTCTAGTGTTGGTTTGAGTTCTGTGCAGTCTGTCGAAACAGTTTGGATGGGAACAGACAGTAAAAAGTTAGTTTTAATTACTTTTTAATACTGTATAAAAGGTTCTTTCCAAAAAAATTTTTATTAAATTTTATTGGCAGAAAAGGGAGTTAAGATTTCCTTTTCAGGCTTTAACTCACAAAATTAATTTTGAGAAATGGTAATATCACTGTATTCAAATTTTATTTTGCTAAATTTTGTATTTTGTTTTAAGCATAATGAATATATCACATGCGCTGTCTTCTCTAGTAAGGCATAATTTATGAAGGAATTAACTTGTACGAAATTTAGATTCTTGTTTAATTTCAAGTTGTCTTCAGCAATATAGCTTAAATGCAGTAATGATATCAGGGATCAACTATTATAAATCTAAGTCAAGCATAACCCTTTTTAATAACATTATAATTATTTGCAAATTTTTCATATTTTTAATGTTTCTGATTGAATCTGAATGACTGTATGTTTCTGATAAATGCTGCAGTATGTTAATAATATTTGTAACATTTATCAGTTTGAGTTAAGAAGCCATGTTTTACATTAAGTAAATATTTTACATGTTTGCTGATATCTTACAGTTTTTACCGCATACATTTGTTAAGATTCTCATTTTTAAGCAATTTTGATTTGCATTTCTGTATTCAATTATTGCTGAGTGTGATGTCAAAGCATATGCGTAACATCTGCATTTTTGCTTCATGTAATCCTTACCAATTCTTTGTAAACTACTTTTTGTTTTTGTTAGTGATGGTAGAATTTAAGTGTTACCACTTATTCTTCTTGCAGTTTGAAAAAAATAATAAAAATTTGAGACCTACCTTCTGCAAAAAGGCAAGTAGTAAACTGTTTTTAAATTTATGAAATATTGCATAAAAAAAGTGTGTATTAACAGACATAATATGATGCTTAACTTGAAAATGGATAAACAATGGCAGTGCAACTTGAACGTCGTTCAAGCGTTATAGACTAACATTTGTAAACTGCATTCTGCATCATTTATGGCTGGTGAAGAGGATTAACATTTGCTAAATGTGGAAGAGAACAGCTCAATATGGCCAACAAAAAAATAACAGGAATAATTATCTGTGGGAAGTTTGCGTATTGTTTTGAACAGAGTATTCAGTAAAATCAGATGGCCTAAAAAATGTGGCACCAAGTGCATAAATAATATGACTGTTTGGTTGCTATTTTTAATGTCATTAGGGATTTTTCTCCACTGAAATACCTGGCATACATTTTCATAAATCTAGAATGAATATTTATATACTTTTATTTATGCTGAATTTATAATTTGTATCTGATAGTAATACAAGCAAGTAAAGAAAGGCTTTATTAAAAAAGCGGGTGTCACTTCCCTTAGAGTTCCACAGTAATGATAGGTGACTATTACTGAATTTTCCAGAATGGTTGACAGGGTAATATATAAGTACCAATAGTTCTGTATGTTCATTATATTTTGTGTGAATTCTAACTATTAAGAGTGAAATTTCCCTGAACTTATGTTTAGCAGGACAAAAAAAAGGTAATTGCTATCTAGTTATTTTGATGACAGCAGTTTTTTTTTTTTTTTTTTTTTAATGCAAATAGAAAATTGTGAAAAAAAATATTTACATTAGCTTGTTGGTTGCCCATATGCTTTGCTGGAATTTAATTTTCAAAAATTTTAAATAATATATATTTACATTAGCAACAGAATTAGAAAGCTGTTAATACGTTTATTTTAAAAATTGTTCATTACTCACTGATGATGATATATTGAAAATTCTTAATTTTTGTATTTAGGGTTGTGGGGTTAACAGAATTTTTAGCTTGTTTGGAATTTTTTAAAACTGTTAATGTTATACTGTTTGAAAAAAGAAATGAAACTGCCTGTTTATTCCACTGCTGGTTTCTTTGTCTTCCTTTTTTTAAATAGGAGATGAAAAAATTCTCCCTAGTTGAATTTCATATTCTTTTAGAGTGATCACTTATGCACAGAAAATCAGATGTGAAAGCACGAAGCGTGCATGACGCCAATAAGTTTTTAATATTATACTTTAATTTGTTTAACCCTTTGAGGGGCAGTATATAAAATAATTTAAATAGTGGTACAATTTTGCATGAACTATAATTTATGAACCCTAAGGACACAAAATTGAGACTTTAAAAAAATCTAGAGCGAAATCCTGAATTTTTAGAGCGGCTATATATTTTATACCGGCGCCACCTCTAAGACATTTTTTCCAGGTAGCTGCCAACTGTTAATTTTTGGTTTTTAAATTAATTTTGCATACTTTTGATGTGTGTCTGTAGTGATGAGTGCTTGACTATAGTTATGTAAGTCTGAAGACAAAAAATTTTTAAATTTCTGTAGAAATTTTAAAAATAAAATTTATGTTTTTATGCACTTTGGGGATGCAACCCAGCTGAACATGCTTATGTAAAATATGGGTAAAAAGCTTTTCAACTTGATTTAAATTCAATATTATTATTTTATAAAAAAATTTAGCAAATATAATTTCATGCGTAAATCGTATCGTGCTGCTGTAACTGAACTAGTATAATATTAGAAGCAGCTGTAACTCGGCCGAAAATTTAAAAAATTGAAAAATGAAACACTACGACTCAGCTGAGAAAGTATGTCGCATTGTTTAATTTGTATTTTATGATTTAGATAATATGTGAAAAAACCATGCTTCATACTATGATATGAAAAATTGCCCTCCTCCATGCACACACACTTTAGATCATCGAGTACCATAAGGGTCCCTTTTATATTTTTTGTAAATATATTTTGTAATATAACTTTGTTCAGGAAGAAACGCCGTTAAACAGTTTTATTATTTGATACACCTCAAAGCTCTTATTCCGATTTTCAACCCCTTTGACTTCCTAGGAGCTCCTTTTCAACTTTTGAATAAATTTTAGTTTGCATCTAAAACTGGCCTTAGAAATATTTTCCTTTCTTTCACCAACTGTGAAAATTTATTTCGGAAACGACCTATTTTTATCAACCAGAGGGAAAATTTCTCTTGTGTTTTCTAGTCTTTCATCTGAAATTAACAAATAATTAAAAAGAATTTCCCTAAAGAATAAAAGCATGCTTTCAAACCAGCAGTTTTTGTGATTACACTATGAGATGGACCTTAAGTACATATCCATTTTAAGTGAGCTTTCCCTTTGTGTGATCTTATCACATCTCACAAAGGGAAGTAGGCGTGACTCCCGAATGACAAATTAGTTGTCAATCTTCTCTTTCCATTTTCCTTGCATTCTAGGAAAACACGAAGCAATGGGTGTCTTTTGAGGGCTAACATGCCACATTTAATCCCCACAATTGTGTAAAGTTTTGACCTCAGACGACAATTTTGAAATCGATGAGTCTTTCTCTTGAGAAAGGGATAAGTGCTGAAATAAAAAATTTAGCTAAACACAGATGAATGAAACCCGAGCTGAGTACACAAAGAATAAATGAAACTAATATACTTGTATCCAGTCCTAGCGCAGCGTCAGTAAACACCCTATTCCTCCATCAACATAATATTCAATTCTAAATGACTTTTAAATTAAATGTGGAAAATTATTACATCATATAAACTGTTATAATAGTAAAGAAATTCTGTCATGTCACAGAGTAGAAAAGGAGAAGACTGGTGCTGTGATCTATTGGCACGGTACCCTCAGTGTGGGCACCAGTATATATTATATACTGGTTTTAAAATCATATAAATAATCTGTTAATTATCACTTCTGACTGAAATGAAGTAAATATATGAGATTCAGCATGTGTATGTCATATATTTGCAGATTTTGAATTTTTTCTTTCCCTCCAATAGAATTTATCAAGCTTCCAACAAGATACCTTGGAACGAGGTATATTAATTTCATAACTGCAAAATATTGAGCATTCATAGGGTGATGCTGCCATTTAGAATCGAAAGGAAACACTAGACACTTATGATTATAGCTTTTCTCGTAGAAAAATTAGCATTTTTTCCGAGGTTAAAAAATTGACAAACAACTGATATATACTATTATATACCGGTGCCCTTCAAAGGGTTAAAGAAAACATTTAACTGCAAACATTGTTTTTTTTTTTTAAATGCCATCCAAAAAGTAATAGTTATATTGAAGAATCAAAAGGAATGCAGTGGAAATGAAATTAAAGCAAAATAAAATAGTCTAGGTTTATATGTTAAAAGCCAAAGTTAAGCATTATTAAGTTTGCAGTTTTTGTAGCCTCCCCCCCCCCACACACACACGTTATTGCTTTGTCAGTTGAAATCTGAAGCATGCTAGGTGCCTGTGAAAACTCTGACCTTAATATTGTTTAACCTTTGTGGTCATATGTTTACACGCAGCAATCTGAGCTTTTTCATTGTTCCAGTCATATGTCTACTCGCAGCCAACCAAAGCTTTTTTACCATTCCAGTCATATGTTTGTTGTCAGGTACCAAAGCTTTTTTACCTTTCCAATCATATATCTGCTGTCAACCACCACAGCAAAGAACCATACTAATTCTGTTAGATTGATAAGCTTCTTAATATTGCATATTATGTAGTATTGTTTGTTCAATGAAAATTAATTCCGACCAGCATGATAGTTATATATAAACTTAATATGACCGCAAAGGATTAAACATGTTTTTTGGAGTGTAAACCTTAAATATTTTTAAGTTCATAATGACTTGCTATGTTTGTTGTGCGAAAAGTGTGCTTTTTAAATAATTACTAAAAAATTCATTTTTCTCTCATCTAATAAATGCATACACTATTAATTTACTATTATTATAATAATTAATTGCATATTTTAATTTTGAGCATGCTGTCTAATAATAATATTAAATTTCAGAATACTTGTATTAGAAGGTTCATGTCCAGAAAAGTGGGAAGAAATTGGAAGTGCAGTTGTTCCTGCAGCAATTATTCAATTAAAATATCACTGGAATCAGTTGTACACTGCCTTAGCTAATGGAACAGTTGTAATCTTTCACAGGGATACTGGTATGTAGATACTAAATGCTCCTATAAATAAGTGTTCTGTTATATGAAAATTTCCTTTTGGAATTATTAAACCACTATATTTTTGCCTGAGTGTGGTCTTTGAGCTTGTTAACGTAAATTATATACAAGTTATTTTTTGGTCCGTCAGGATAATAATTTATGTTTGCGTGCCAATGCTTTAAGACTGTAATAAACTGAAAGCTAATCATGTCTTTCTGCAGCCTGAAGCAAAATTATCTGATGTATGTAAATTATGCTTTTTATCAATATGTAGTGCTGATATCTGTGTGTGTGTGTGTGTGTATATATGTATGTCTATTCATGTATTCCCCCATTTATTATCAATTTTTTCATACAAAAATGAAGTTGGAAAAGTTATACGAATAATTTAATTTCCAAAGGATGCTGTTGCCTAAAATATAACAAATGAAAAGTGTTCATGGATAAACTAGCAGTAACTATCATAGCATTACTTATTTTAAAGGCACCTACATTCCAGTATGAGTACTTAGTAATAGTAACAGTATGATATATAGTAGGATGTCTTCATTTCTGCTTCTATGTATCTTGTTCACTATTATTATTGTCCACAGCCACTTCCTAGGCCTCAAATTAAAAGTGCTGCCAAAAATACATTGTCTGCTAGAGCTTACAAGTTGTCACTGTTGTCTTTATCATCTTTCAGTCTGCCTTCCCTTATGCAATAATTTTCAAAACCATCAGCAGCAATAAATATCACTATTTTCTTGAATGTCATCAGTTTTTAAATTCTGGGGGAGCTTGCTTGATGAATGCTTTAAGGGAGGGAGAAATTTCAAGACTATTTAGAAAGTTTTCAAATCCTTGTGCTAAGCTAGGGGAAAAAGTATGTCAGGAAATAGTTTATGTATGTAACTCTTTCTCTCTCTCTGTGTATATATATATATATAGAGAGAGAGAGAATGATTTAAATTCACTTAGTTCAAAAACAAGTTTTTCTAATACTTGGCACAATAAAACATTTTAAAAGCAAATGAGAACTTTCAAAACAAAAACCAAGAGCTAAAATAGCTGAGATTAAGAAAATAATTTAAGTAAATTACTCACGAGATATCTTTTAGTAAAAATTCAATTTAAATAAATAATGACAAATACAATGTTATTCTTTGTGGAAATAAATGTTGGTGAAAAAGCCATGTGCTAACTTGTATAAAAATGAAATTTAAAAAGTGAATGCCTAAAAATTGAAGTGCAATAAAATTGTTTGTCAGGTTTTATTTATTTATTTATTTCAATGTTCAGGTTATTTGCCTTTTAAACTGAGTATTTGTAAAAATTTATCCCAAGGTTTTTTCACTAACATTTTTTCCTGTTATAAGTTACATGTTATTTGCCACACTTTTGTCTTAATTAATTTAGTTTGAATTTTTGTGGAACATAGCTTGGTGAGTAGTCATTTATTTGCTTCAATTTTCTATCTTTGCATGCGTGTGTATAACAGAGTTGATGCAATTTGAATGTATAGGTTTTCTGCATGTATTTTTTCATATTTGCAGCTGTATACATTTTCTTTGTATAATATTAACATTTAAAAAGAAATTCAGCTTTAAAATCTAGCAATTTTGGATTTCCTCCCATAAGAAAAGCTACAGCACAGTACATTTTATGGTAGATGTATGCCAATAGAAAAATGTTAATTCCTTGCACTTTTATTGTATGCGATATGAAAACACCATCACTAGGCCAACCCATAAATAAAGACAGCATCAATTGGTTTTTTTTATCTATAGCATTTATTATGTCATTTTATGTATGTAACTTTTACATTTGCCATATTATAAGGTGAACCAACCTCCACAAACAATTGCATACTGAATATTACACAATATATTGCATACTGAACTGATTCACAAATCCTTACTCTTTACTACATTACATAACAATCCCCTGCCAATACATTATGAACCAAACCTTTTTGATGTTTACATATACCTTTGTCTCTTTCATATTAAATAATCATCAGTTTAAATTGCAAATAATATTTAAGTATAAATTAAAGCAACTTATAAAGTTAATTACTAAATATGAAACATGAATCAGTCATACTGAACTTTAAATTCACAATAATGATATAACCTAAAAAATCACCTTGAACAACAGTCATTGAAGATACCCATTATAAGATTGATATGCTGCACACACACACAGAAAGTTATTACACAATTGCCTTTTATTATTAATAATTATAGATTTCAAGTTTGTGTAGTAATTTTAATATTCTCTTTTAGTTACTTGTTTGATTTTTTATGAGACTGGAGTAAAACTGACAATCTTTTCTAGGATAAGTTTCTGTTATCTTACTGTCTGCAAATTTCTAGGAAAGCAGTCGTCATGTACAAGAACAACATTCTCAACTGTAAACTGACTAGATATTTTAGTAGGTAGACATAAATTCATGGACGTTAAAGAATCTAATTTTTACATGCTTTTTCCAACACTTCCAAAAATGATTTAACAAATTGTGTCTATATTTATACCATTTCAAGATCAAGGAACGTGTAGGCCCAGTCAGGTTCTCTTGATACTTGAAGAGAAAGTAAACATTTACTTACTAAGAAATAAGCAGAAGTGTGAGGTTAGTGCTCTGAAGGGTCCATAGATACATGCTGTTGGGCTCTAAGTAATTATGGTTTTGATTTAAATGAAAACTGTTTCTAGCTTATTCAAAGCATTCTAAAATGCCTCCTCACCATGTTCCTTTTTCAGCAATATATTTCCATTTTATACTATGGGAGGAAAATAAATTTTATACATATGGATGCTGTGTACACTTCTAGATTTTTCTCAACTCGATCAGCACACTAGAATGTCTTGGCATTATCTGAGTATTTTGTTGAACATAGTCCACAACGAGAAATAAATCTTTAAAATGCAAGCATAAGATTATCTACATTTATAGACAAGACAAGTTCTAAATATAAAGTGGTAGCACAAGTTAATAATAATAGATAATGTTTATCTTTGCTGTCTTTTGTGAAGAAGGAGACAACATAATCAACAGAAAATGTTTGCAGAATATGATCAGGCAGTAAAACAGTGATTTCTTGTGTCCCTGCTCATAACTTATACTGTTTACATAAATAGCACTTGTTCAATGTGGATTTGAGAAATTGGGATCATTTTATGATCCAAAACTTTGCTCTATTTTGGGCTAAGGTAGCTTCAACTCCAGCATGAAGCAGTTTATTATGAGAGTAATTCACTATGTCTATCTTTATAAGGGAACAGCCATGGGTGTTTTTCTCTGGAATCAAGATCAAAGAACTGAAGTGTGCCTTTTAAACACAGAAGACCATATGTATCCAGTTCAGGGTTCAGTGAGTAAAATGCAATTGTCTTATCTAGGAGCTTTCCATATGAGAGATGTAGAATCCCTTTCAAAAAATGTTTTCATTGTGTAACTCTCACCTTGTAAAGATCAGGTCTTAAAATCTCAACAGACCTCAATAGACCTTTGAATTTCACTGAATTTTGCTTGATATTTTTTATAAACCGCATAATATAAGCTGTAATCTGACACAGTTTTAGGAGCCTACTGAATCAGGCTAAATTTAATAATGTTGGAGTTTCTAAGTCTTGAATCTTGAACAGAGTTTATGATTTGTTCTCTCTGTTGATTCATTTGCCAGACTTTTTCAGGGTAAGGGAGCCAGCTAGGTCCATGTAACCAAAAGAAACTCTTAACAAGGTTAAAGGCACTTTCTCCATGAGAAAAGAACTCAGCAGGGTTTTCTTTTCCACTGCAGTGAAATCACTTCATGTTCATTCACTAAATTTCAGAAATTCTGTTTGTCCTGAAGGGCATTGAGTTTCTGCCGCATCTCTTTCTCTAGTAGATAACTATTTGGCTATCACTTTGCAGAAACTTTTGATGGCAGAGTTCAAGAAGCAAATACTTAGACAGTTTGACAGCTAACTAAAGCAGCCATGAGTTCCAAATGAGAATGAGTCATAGACTTCAGTGGAGCCAGACATTGATGAAACTAATGCAAATATATTTTTTTAATTGAAGAATTTAAAATATCCTATCATGCAGTACACGTTATGTCAGCAAATACATGGAGACTAACTTTAGGTTTCTCACAGCTATCAGAGTATTTTCTTGGAAGAGGTAAATCCTCGAGCCCTTCATTTCACCCCACAAACGAATCCAGTCCTTATTTATTTCTAATAGAACTGTATCATCCCATTTCACGCTTAATATCCGAACTTTTTGTAATAGGATTTTCATTCCAATCCAGAAAGGTTGAGGCACTCCTGTAGGATCTTACTTTCTAGCTACTGTTTGGAGAATGTTTCTTTTGGTGTGCTTCAGCACAGTCATCTAATAATTCTAAAAACTCACAATTCAGTTTTATCCTTCCTGTCTAGATGATGCCAAAATTTTGTCTCACTTTGTCTAATTCTACATTATAACCCTTTTCAGTTCACCAGGAATTAAGTTTCTTGGAATTTTACCTTAATTTTCTAAGAATCATCCGTGTCTGAAAATCTGAACTGCATCGGAATATAATCAACATATATCTTCAGCTACGTCAGTAATTTAATATAAATTTGTCTATATGCAACAAGGAATCCTAACATTTCATAATTTTCCATATTTGTGCTTTTGTATATTTTAACATATAATTTTGTCATCTCCAAAATTGAAATACAGCAGAGTCCAGCAGAGCATTTGAACTTTAAAACTTCATTTTCTTGGTCACTGTCCCTGAGCTAGACAAATTTTAAGCAATCCCTAGCCTCTTAATGAAGTCCCTGTCATTTACAAAATTTTAAAATTATGTCCAACACCATTGGGAATAAACTAGGTCTAGTATCTTGAAAATGATTTTGGATTTTACAGCTTCTAGAAGAGCATGTATTGTAAATAATCCTGCAATTTGTAGTTTCCCTCGTTTTTTGCATAAAATAGAATGATTTAGTTATTTCCTGCAAACACTTCTCAACTATGCCCTCCT